CGCCGCCTCTTCTCCCAGCCCCGCGCGTCCGCGCGCCGCCAGCCGAAACACGTAGGTGGCGCCCTTGTGTGCAGGCGCTGCGAACCGCCGCTCCCACGCCGCTAGTTCCAGCGTGGCCGGTGCCGCGTCTTCACGCCCGAACTGCAGGCGGTAGCCGAGCACAGGGTCCTCAGCCACGTCCGCGGGGGGCTCCCAGCGCGCCAGCAGGCTGCCCTCGGGGGTCTGCTGCACCGACAGGGTGGGGCGGCCCAGCACTGCAGGGAGAGATGGTCAGCCAGAGCCAGGAGCGTGCTTCAGCCCGTCACTCAGCCCCTCCATCCTGACCACGCCCCCAGCCCCTCACTGGGGAATCCTAAATGGGGGCTCCACCCTGACCATGCCCCCCAGACCTTAAAGGTCTAGTTTTTTTAAATATTTTTATTATGTATACAATATTCTCTGTGTGTGTCTGCTGCAGGCCAGAAGAGGGCACCAGACCTCATTACAGATGGTTGTGAGCCACCATGTGGTTGCTGGAATTGAACTCAGGACCTTTGGAAGAGCAGGCAATGCTCTTAACCGCTGAGCCATCTCTCCAGCTCCAAAGGTCTAGCTTTTAAAGATGCGTTTTAGCAAGGACTTTTAAGCAAAGGCTTGGATTCCAAGGTGGGGCACAAGGACATCTCTTGAGCATCCTTTTATCACTGGAAGCCTGACTCCCACACTGCTGCTGAGAGACAGTCAAATAAGGAGCGTCCAGGCAGAGAGCGGGACGAGGGCAGGGACAGACACGGGTTAGCAGTGTCTGGAACCTGGAACCTCCAAGAAAAGCCCATGCCTTTCCTCTCTTGGTCCCACTGTCCTGGTATATCTTTACACTATACAGGCTTGAGAATCATGGGGGCTGCTCTGGGCCTGTACCTGCTCCCTTGGTCACCACCACCTTCGGCTTGCTGCGAGCGCCATCGCCTTTCATGGTGTACGCGGCTACTGTGATAGAGTAAGCAGTCTCAGGCTGTAGGTTCGTGATCACCATTTCCTGTGAGTGTGGACGGGAGTGGGTGTCAGCCATGGGGCAAGATGCTCACCCTCTCCCCTAAGACAAAGATGGGACATGGACAGACACACTGGTGAGCGCATGCACAGACCACAGCATGCAGCGGCCACACCCTGTCAACAACACACATCCTGGGCCAGGCTGTCACCAACAGATCCTCAGAGCCACCAGAGTGCTGTGAGCAGCCACCTCCAGGGCGCCCCCACTTCTGTAAAGCCAATGAAGTCCTCCCCACCCCTCACTCCCTCAGCTCCAGTCACAGGGTGTCCTGGGCACCCTAGGCCTTGGCATGGCTTGGCCACTCTGAGCCCACTGACCTCTTAGAGATGCCCTAACCGACTTGAGAAATGCAGTTACGCTAGCTGGAGTTTTGAAAGTCACTTGTGAACCGCAGCCGTCTCATGCTACGATGCAAACTGCAGACTTAAAGTCAATAGCTGCGGAGGTGCAGACTGGAGTGGGAGGCTGGCACAGGCTGTACAGTGAGGCCTGTGTCAGACACAACCCCGCAGCGGAATGCTTCATCCTTCCCGGACCACCCTGTGCCTGGTCCCCTCTCCTATCCAGGTGACAGTGTGACACCATGCTGGGATACAGTTCGTTCACACCACACCCCAGACAGTGGATGTTCCAACACATTGGATCCTGTTGCCTCTTCCTGGGGACTTTAGTCAGCCTTGGCCACCAACTCTCCTGAGCCCACAGCATAAGATATGTCAACTCTATAGTGGTGACTGACATGTCTTGCATACAACCTATGTACACATGCATTCTTGTAATCAGGGGCGCGTGTGTGTGTGCGCGCGCGCGCGCGCACACACACACACACACACACACACACACACACACACACAGCATGCCCGGCAGCAAGCAGAGTCCTCAGGAGCACAGGAGTGGGGGATGGGACAGAAACAGGCAGGAAGGACAGAGGGCATCCCCTGGAGCCGGAGAGAGACCTTTGCAAGCCCCAGCCAGGTCAGTGGCAACTTTAGACCTTATGCAGAGCCCTTGTCTCCTGTCAATCTGATTGAGCAGCCCAGAGACAGGCAGGGCCTTGCCTGAGGACACATGCCAATTCCACACTGCTCTGAGGTGGCAGCCTGGCAGCTGTCCTTCCCCACCCTGGGTCCGTCAGAAACTATGGAGGGCACGTGGGGGACACAGGAGGAGACCTGGGGACCACGGGCGTGCAGACTGCACAGTGCGGACGGCAGGTGGCTCAGGAGACTACTCACGTATTCGGCAGTGTCGTCCATCTCCCACTGAGCGGGAGGCGGTGGCGGGGGAGAGAGGAGGGACGTGAGAGGGGGGCCAGCAGTAGAGTGGGGAGTAGAGAGGAAACAGTGCCCAGACGCCCATGCCACCCCAGCCGTGTGGCCCACCTGGGCATCTGCCAGCATGATGTCCTTGATGCGCGGTGGCCCGCGGGCCTCAGCGCCTTCCATGCGCACATAGTGGACCTGGTAGCCGCGGATCTGCCCGTGCTGCCGGCCGGGCGTGGGCGAGCGCCACAGCACTCGGATGGCCGTGGCGTTGAGCGCCTCCGCCTCCACCTTCCGCGGGGGCGCGCTGGGCACTGGCGGGCAGGAGGGGGGCGGCGGGGCTGTTACAGGGGCACTAGGCCCCGCCCCGGGCCAGAGTACTGGGAGTTGCTGGCCCGGGAGGGCGTGGCCCCCTCCAACCCCTACGTTCCCAGGACCTGCTGCTGTACCACACAATGACCAACCGTGGTCCCTCTCCCAGGCCCCATTCTTAGCGCTTGTCCCCCTCAGAGCTGATACACATCTCTGCAGTCTACAGATGGGGAAACTGAGGCCTGGAAAATGGAACCCTGATCCCAGGTGATCACAAAGCTAGGACAGACTGGGCGGTCAGTCCAAAATCATCGTCTCCTGGTCTGCTAAGCTGGGAGCCTTTTTTTTTTTTCCCCAGCTTGCCATCAGGCCCAAAGCCTCCCTCCCGGCACTGGGCACCAACTGCTATTCACAAGTCCCACGTCCGATGATGATCTGCTCCTAGCGTGTCACTAGCCTGCCTGTCACGCGGCTTTTCTGCTTCAAGCTACATGGCCTCTTGAACAGGCCATCATGGGTATATGTTGGTGGAGGAGGCAGGATGATGCAGGGCCACCAAGAGTCTAAAACTCAGGTTAAGGAGGCCACCTTAGAGGCGCACCAAGGGAAGAGGGTGCCCCAGGCTCAGGCTACCTGTGGCGAGGCCCCCTGAGATGCAGCTTGCTCCTGGCTTCCTGGCTCCCGCTCTGACCCCAGCCCTGGGTCCGGCCAGGGCCGGTGCTTACCGTCTTCGTCGGTGCGGACGACCACGGGCGAGCTCTCGGGCCCTGGTCCCACCTCTGTGTAAGCCACTGCGGTGACACGGTACTCCGTCCATTTCTCCAAAGCTTCCAGAAGGATCTGAGTGGTGGTCGGGGGTATGTTGTTCACCTCCTTGGGGTTCGGGTCCTCTGAGCCCAGCGGTCGGTAGCGGACGCTGTAGCCCACCAGGGCCCCGTTGTGAGTTTCTGGCGGTGGCGGGCGCCAACTTACCAATATGGCCGTGGAGCGCAAGCTGGTGCACTTAACATCTTGAGGGGGGGCTGACGGTTCTATTGGGGAGAGCGTGGGGGCGGGGAGGTGGGATGGGCAGGGAGGGCAGGGACAGAAGATGGGAAAGAGAAAATAAAAAGATGATAACAAAACAGAACGAACCAAAGAGAAATCGAACCCAAAAGAAGCGGGTGTCAAACAAAGGTGAGATGGGGGGTGGGCGGGGGGGCGAGGGGCTGGCCAAGAACTCGTCCGCTAGCTGTGCGAGAGACAAGGGTGGGTGGTGTGGCGGAGAAGGCGCTTGCCACTGGGCTCCACTATGTGCTCGAGATGATCCTACTGTGTGTCATGAGTATAATGCCGGCTTCACGGAACAGAGAAAACAATTACCGAGCACCCTCTTTGTGCCTGGCATTACGACACGAAACCAGAACAGAAGCTCCCATACACTAAGGACCTACTGTCTGCCAGCTCCTTTACAGAATAGGAAAATCATTTCCCAGACTCCTACCATGTGTCAGGCTCCACAAAGTTGCTAAGACACTGTCATATCCTTCAGAGAATGGCAGAAGTAAGTTCCTGCGTGCCTACTACGGGCCAAGCATATACTGGCCCATAATATACTAAGGGATGTACTTAGCCAGGCACCATGACAAGGACTACAACTGAAGCTCCAGCAACTGAACACCTACTAGGTGCCAGGCCCCCCACAGGGCTTAAAAGAATTGGAGCAAAATCACCTATGGCCCCCAGACCTATTATATGCTGGGCATCATGCCAGGGGAGAAGTCTACACACAGGTACATACTGTGTGCTGGGTGTTTGCCAAGGGCTTCATAGAATAAGATAAAGGCATGTGCTATCAGAGGCCTACTGTGTGCTGGGTGTTTGCCAAGAGGATTAGCAATCATATCAGGTCCTATTATGTTCAAGGCATCACACCAAGGTGTCTTAAGACAACAGCAGATTTACTTATTCTGAGCATCTACTTGCAGGCCTTGCTGAAGTACTCTGGGGTTAAAGCATACAGTGCTTAAACTATTCTTAGGGTTCATCTATTTACTTAACACTTGAGCCCTGAGGCCATCCCAGCAGCCAACTCCAGACACCTCTGTTCTCTTGGCCTTACTCAAAGATGGGTGTCTTGAGCACCTCATGTGCACCTGTCACATGCCAGGTGTTTGACAGAGTAATAACAGAGGCGCTGAACACAGCCTGTGAGGGCACCGATTGTGTGCTGGGCACTGGGACAGGTCTCCGAATACTGAATACCCACTGTGTGCCAGAGCACCAGGCTACTCCTCACGTGGTAAGCACTTACCCATGTGGTGGGTATTATGCTATTGCTAAATCAGAAAGTCAGACTGCAAACGGTAAGTCACCTAATGTGTACTAGTACTGTGCTAGGGGCTCTACTGAAAAGAAGTCTCCATACTTTAAACACCTACTGTGTGCTAGGCTCTGGACTACCAACTCTAGAGAATATCAAGGAATCTTTCATGTTAAGCACCCACTGTGAACTTGGCACTGAGTAAACAGCCCCCACATAATAAGCACATACTATGTGCCAGATACTAGCCTAACAATTCCTGCATATAACACCCACTCTGTACAGGGCATCGAGTTAATAGGCTATATATATATATATATATATATATATATATATATATATATGTATGTATCTCAAATACTTAGTGTGCCAAGCACCACTGGGCTAGTAGCACCCATACATTACATTTACTGCATGCCAGGCACTGGGCTAATAGGCACCCATACATTAAACACTTACTATACTATATGCTAGGCACTGATTAGGCTAACAGTGACCACACATTAAGTCCCTACTATGTGCCTGATATTGCACCGGGGCTTTACTGAAGAACAAGAACAATCCCCATGTTAAACACCTACTGTGTGGGCACTGGACCAACAGCTCCCACGTATTGAACAGCCACTGTGTGCCAGACACTGGAGTAATTGTCTCCATCACTCAGTGCCTACTATGCGTCAAACATGGTCTATTATACCCCGTGAAGCACTAGGAGTGCTCGTGTATTGGGCACCTACTCTGTGTCAGGTACTCTTAGGGCTGTCGCTTAAGCATTTATGGGGTATCCATCCATATTGTAGGGATTTTATTAAATTGAGTTCTAATTTTCACATATGAAGAAGGTACTTTGTGTCAGGTGCCATGATATGACCCTAGAATGGTGCAGTGCCAGGGCTTTGGCAGGAACTGTGCTGGACAAACCTGAGCAGAACAATTCTTTTTCAGACCAACACAGTCCAGATACGAGCACCTGTGTGTTGTGTGTTAAACACCAAGCCAACTTCTTCTTCTTTTTTAATGTTTTTTTTTTATTTTTTTAAATTATTTATTTATTTATTATGTGAACAATATTCTGCCTGTGTGTATGCCTGAAGGCCAGAAGAGGGCACCAGACCCCTTTACAGATGGTTTGAGCCACCATGTGGTTGCTGGGAATTGAACTCAGGACCTTTGGAAGA